CCAAGGATAGCTTGGTGACTTTCTAGAATGAAAGACAGAAGTGCAGACAATGATGCGGACAGGACATTCAAAGGTCATGCCTTTGTAATATTTTTAAAAATATTTACTTTTGTAATAAAAGCACACAGTGTAGACTATTTAGAAATTACAGAGCAGTTATGTTTTTAACCTCTAACTCAACAGTTACTGATAACTATAGCCAATATTTTGACATTCACAATTGAAATTTGCATGGAAAATATTTGCATTTTCCTTTTTGTTCCTCAAAGATGGTGTTAAAACGTGAGTAATGGTTGTAAAACATTTTTGTCCATTAAGACATACTATAACTAGTTTATTACCAATGGGCTATTCAGGATACTTCCAATTTTCAAAAATAAAATTTTAACACTAAAATTTTTATCTTTTTATCTGAGATCACTCATCTTTATTTCACCTCCATTGGAACTGCAAGTCTGTATTTTCTTTGATGAAAGCTTTTCTCCTTAGTTTAAGCTAAGTATACATGTACTAGGTAAAAACTGTGAGTGTGGAGAAGTAGGGAATAAATAATACAGTCTCTGCAACAACATCTTTGCATAAAATAAAATCTTCATGGACTGGGGAATTACTTGAGGTTCTGAAAGGATGCTAAAGTTMTCAGACGCACCTTCACATCTTCAAAGCATTTAAAGACTACTTTCAACATACAAAACAAATTTTCTTTTAAATAAAACCCATTTCCTCCTTGTACCCTGTTATAAACAGGCACTGACTCACTCACAGCTCATCTAAAAACACAATGAAGGGCCACAGGCATAGCTCAGTGGTAGAGAACCTGCCTAGCACATATAAAGAAGGCTCTGGGTTCCATCCTCAGTACCACAAAAACAAAACAAAATGAAACAGTGCCACCAAAGAATATGTGTTGGCACACACCTATAATCCCAGTGACACTTTAGGCTAAAATGGGAGGCTCGCAAGTTCAAGGCCAGCCTGAGCAACTTAGCAAGACCTGTCTCAAAAAACAAGCGCTGGGGATATAGCTCAGGGACAGTGTGCTCCTGGGTTCAATCCCTAGTATGCCCACCCCCCAACACACAAAGAACATGTGCTATTTTATTTATGTTCATCTTCTAACTGGTAAAGGCCGCCTACAGTTTTCCTCATGTCCAGAAGGATCCCATACACTCTCAGTATTTAATGTCCTGGTCAGTATCAAGCATACAGAATTAACTTAATTCCAACAACACATTTTTCTTTTTTTTTTTTGTTTTTTAAAGAGACGTGGGTATTACTTCTATTGTTGCCCAGGTTAGCCCTGAACTCCTAGGCTCAAGCAATCTTCCTGTCTCAGCCTTCCTAGGAACTGGGTTTACAGACACGCACCACTGTACTCAATTATCTTGTTTTCTAGAAGAGGAACAACAATTTTCATTGGTCAAGGAGAACTGGGTCCAAAACTTCTCATTCCTGATAACCAGTGATAAATGTCTAATCACTCACTTTTAACTCTACATGGTCACTAATCCCCAGCAGCATTGCTAAGTACTCTAGGAAATATTTCTGAGTGAAAAGATAAAAGTCAGTCTGACTTCTCAGAACTTTAGAGACTTAAATATGATTCCTTTTGAAGCAGTCTTTTCTGGAAGAATATGTAAATATTTCAATGATGTTATAGTTGTAAACGAAGTTTTCTAATTTCTCTTTGGAAATACCCACAGGACCAGTTTTATACCAACTGATATTACTCAGTTTTTCTATTCATCTTACTTTCTGGGATTAAATCACCATTTCAAAAATTCATTTGTAGCTTCAAAGCATCAAGATTCATCATTACTTATGATATTCAAAGAGAATGTAAAGATGAGCTCTAAGTGGTTGAAAAGAGTCCATAACCTCCCAAGGTGCTCATTTATATTCCTTTTCTTTCCCAAGAGGATTTAGGGTAGCTATGTCACTATTTGGGGGGGAAAAAGAACTTATTTATAGATGTAAATTGTTTAAAAGAACATCTCATGTAATCAGGCAACTACTAAAAATCTTCTCAAATTAAGTTTTCAAAAAGTATCCCAAAGATAAGGATGTCAAATTATATCGAATGTACATTAAATATGCAGAGGAATGTTTTAAATATCAGACAATATAAATAATGATACCCATTTAAGGCATAAAATTATGAAATGTTTTAATTTTTTTCCTTTATTTTTTCTCACAACTTTCTTACACTCCTTAATGGATATGATATTTATACAATTAGAAAATATACACAAACACACACAATTAAAACAGGTATATATTTTAAAATTCTAAGATGTAAGCATTAAAAACATTTAATCTCAACTTTTTTTTTTGGGGGGGGGGGCTACAATGGGAATTGAACTCAGGGTCTCATGAATGCTAGACAAGTGCTATACCACTGAGCTACATATTCCCCATTGCAGCTACACCTTAGTATATAAGAGCTTAAAATTTGGCTCAGAAGGAATGTACATCTGCCAGATACAATGGAAACAAGGTTTAAAAAGAATGTGTTACTTTATTTCCTTTCCCTTCTGTATAATTTAACATCTACACAACTCAAAAAGGAAAAGTTGCCTTTTCTAAGTGAGCCACTGCTTTTCGAAATGCTTAAAGCACATCAACAGTAATTACACTGTTGATGACTTGAAAATGGGTCACCCCACACAACTGATTAAAACTCTCTTATGCAATCTTCCTTTGGAGGAAACAAGGACAGCTTGTACAAATATTTCAACTAGATCTACTTCCTTAAGAGAAGATGATACACATTTGTAGACACTACCAAGTTTGGAAAACACACAGAAAGGAAAAGGAAACTAATGAAGTTAAGATGGTCTGTCCATTTGCCCCAATTATTTTTTTTGCAGTGGTGGTGACAGGGTACCAGGGATTGAACTCAGAGGTACTCAACCACTGAGCYACATCCCTAGCTCTATTTTGTATTTTATTTAGAGACCCGGTCTAACTGAGTTGCTTAGCACCTCACTTTTGGTGAGGCTGGCTCTGAACTCAGGATCCTCCTGCCTCAGCCTCCCAAGCTGTTAGGATTGCAGGCGTRCACTACCACGGCCAGCTGTCCAAGTCAATTTTATACAAGGTCACTGACTTTTTGGAAAGGACACAGGCTTGTTAATAAATAAGCAGTGTCTAAAGTTTAGATATTTTAGGGATGGGGGTGTAGTTCAGAGGAACAGCACCTGCCTCATATGTACAAGGCCCTTGTTCTAACCACAGCATCAGGAAAAAGGCATACTGAATAAAGTTGTAGATATTTAGGATATTTTTATCTATTTTATTTAGAAAGCTAAAATGAATCAATCATGTTACCTGGAACAATAACAATATTTGGGAAATAACTACTTTTGTACAGGATATGCAACTGCATTTCTATAGGTTAACTACTAATTTCAATAAGGTTTAYTGTCTCCTCTTTGACTAGGAATGTGGTGTAACAAAACTGTATTTGGAAGGCTAATTTTTACTTTTTAAATAAATGTATTTATGAGATGTGTCTGAATGAATTTACATGGTTTGGGTAATTTGTAAAGGCTTTAAGACCATACCACTTGACTACATACATGTTTCAAATGTCTGAATAGAAACACCCCTCTCAAGTTAAGAGATGAATAAACTAGCGGCAGGGAACTACAACATGCTGTCATGGATTGGAGGCAAGAAAAGGCTGATACCCTCAACCACACAGCTATTAAAGTTAGATGCGCTCTTGAGTTGTTTCAAACTCTACACACCTCATGATACCACTTCACTATTCCTAACTCTAAAACTTGGAGCTCGTAAACCAATGAAAAAATTTCAGATTCATTTACCCATAAAGCATCTTCTTGAGTGCTGGTTTAGAAAACTCACCTAACAAACTCAAGGAAATTACCACTCTATTATTCAAATGAGCACAAAAGTTCTCCAGTCTAAGAACAAATTTATAGATGCTCTATATTTTTAAAGCATAAAATACTAAAGCATGTAAAGTAGTTAGATATTAAGGAAGAGGTTACCACTTTTGGACTTAAGTCTGTGACCATCCTAACTCTTCTGTACTATTTGCCTTACAAAGAAATACAGAAGCATGAAATGAAATCAAAACTTCAGAAAGCTTTGGTTCTTTTTAACTTTTTTGTTGTTTGCAGCCAGGAGATCTATCTGGCTTTAGCTCTGAAGACAGTTACAGTGGTACCAAGATACCAAGATATTTTAACTCTGGCTGTTCTCAGTACAAAGCTCAGTCAGACCATCAAAGATTGTTCAATATATTCCAATTTTATTTTACTGCTCTTACTTAAAATTGGTCAATATTTTATAATATTTTAGTTACGTATAGACTAAAGTTAAAAAAAGTTTACTAAAGTTAATGAGAGAACTATCATTCTACAATCTTAAATATTTAGAGTTGTCACCTTCAATCAGAAGTACTAAAATAACTTAATTATTACTGAGCACACCTCAGTGGAGAAGACAGGTTAATAACATCACAAATTGAGGTATAAGGAAGATGAAAGCAAGGACACCTCTTGTATAATCCCACACTGAGGTTGCTATTCTTCTGTCTACTGTTTATATGGCTAAAAAGATTGGAGAGAATGAAAGAGTCGTTTCATTGCTTAGTACCCAGAACTGGGGTTAACCAAAGTAAAGTAAGATCTAGGCTGGGTTTTTAGATGACAAAATTAGAACAGATATTATATACCATTTGTTGACACCTAAAGAGAAAAATCTACACTGTAAGTCATTATAATCGTGCAAAGGTATGTGTATGTGTGTGTGTGTGTGTGTGTGTGTGTGTGTGTGTGTGTGTGTGTGTATATATATATATATACACCTTTATCACATTATGGAAGTTTCCACCAAGTCACTGATTTAACCAACCAAAAATTCAGTTAAATCATCATTTCTAGAAATATCTCCCACAAAATGTAGGATATCTTTTCCTCTTAGATTTCAAAATTCCCTAAGGAGAGAAACCAAACCAAGTACTCACATACCTATAGATGGAGATTTGAAAGGGTATTTATCAGGAAGATCCACTCTAACTTTCCATACTCCACCTTCATACGGTGCTAGAATAAAAGTAAAAAAGGTTAAACATTAGAATTGTGTCCTTAAATTAGAAAATAAATCTTAGTAGAAGTTAAATGTTAAACCCTAATCTCTTCTGAAAACACTCAAATTAATTCTTTCAAGAGTCAGAACCCTACTATAACCAGTAGGTTCTCTATGTACTGTAAAACATCAAAAGTTGGAAAATCAGCAGTGATTGTCTCTTTCAAATTTATTTGATTCTATTAAACACTATAATCTGGTAAGTAATAGCTACTTACATTCCCTTTTCTCCTATCTCAGCCAAGCCCCACTAAAAAAAAAAACAAAAAAACAACAATAATAACAAAAAAAAACAAGAACAAAATGTCCAGTGTGGTGGTGCACACCTATAATCCCAGCAGCTCAGGAAGCTGAGGCAGGAGGAGTTTAAAGTCGGCCTCAGCAATTTAGCCAAGCCTTAAGCAATTTGGTGAGACTCTGTCTCTAAATAAAATACAAAGAGGGGCTGGGGATGTGGCTCAGTGGTTAAGTACTCCTGGGTTCAATCCCCAAAAACAAACAACAACAACAACAAAACCCAAAATGCACTTCCCAGAAATCACTCTCATAGCTCATTAGAGAGAAAAGTGTATAAAGTAATTATGATGAGAAATTGGTTTTCTCACTGGTTCTAGAGTTCAACTGAACTTACTTTTCAGCAAAAACTATACATGCTACTATTTGTCCTTGATGTTCTGTCTTTAAGAATAAAAGACTATAAAAGAAGAACACATATACTTACTTCCTTGTGGTCCATAAAACTTCACTACAAATTCATTGAGTCCTCCCAGGATTGTAACCTCATGCTTACTCTCAATGCTAAGGTGGAAGGTAAAGGAAAGTACACAGGCTTTATATCAGAGGAAGAACTACTGTTAACATCCCCAAGATATGCCAACTAAAGTGTTACCAAAACTTGACATAGTACTGATACAACACAATACACAACAGCTCTAGGGTTTAGAAGGCATCTRGCTCTAATGAAAAGAATATGAATGAACTTTGGATTCAGAGGGAGACTGCTGTTCAAATCCCAGGACTGTCATTTACTTGGTTTGTGAGCCTCGACAAAATAATGCCCTTTGTGGGCTGGGGCTGTAGCTTAGCAGCAGAACGTGAGGCACTGGGTCTGATCCTCAGCACCACATAAAAATAATCAAATAAAATAAAAGCATGTGTCCATCTACAACTACAAAAAAATAATGCCCTTTGTTCTCACCCTGCGAATTGGGAAAATAGCATTTAATTTGTGAAGATTAAATATGGAAAATGTATAAGAATACATCTGCCTATATGTAAATGAAAAATGGGCACTTTTAATATTTTTCCTAACCATACCTTCTACTCCCCAATAAGCCCTTAACATAATTCAGTACTCTTTAGTCAAATTCACATGTCTGGTAAGTCACTAAAAATTCTCCTAAACTAGAAGTGCTGTGCTCCTAAAATTAAGGATTTAACTAAGGAAAGTCCCCACAACTTTCTCCTTGGCTTATGAAATACTCAAAATAATTAATGATACAACTTTACTATAAGGCAGACTGTTTTATTTGTTGTATTTATTTTCCTCCCCAGACTCCACTCCCTTTAGACCTGCCTTTAGGTTCTGGTGTGGTCCAGGGCTTTAATTACAGAGAGGTAATTCAGAATTCTAAGTTCTCTTCCTAAAAAACTGACCTGGCCCTGGAGCTCTCACCGCTTCACTGACTCAGTTACAGAAAACTAATTAATCCATCTTAGTAGAAGACAGTGCTACTAATCTAAAACCTATTTGAAGTCTTTGCTTTGTGGACTAACTCAACAATGACACTACGATAGGAATTTTAGGTGGTATGGCTTTGGAAATTTTTCAAATCTAAATGTAACAATAAAGAAAAAAACAGAAATGACAGAACAGGTATCATCTTTCTCAATCAGCAGTGCCAATTACATTTTAATTACACATATGAATATACAAAATAGATAAATCAAAAATTTTTAAATGATCTCAAATAATGGGAAAAAATGATATTTTTAAAGGTTTGAAATTGAATATTTGGCTCCCCAAGTCCTTGTCCTATAGGCTACAGTACAAACTGCAAAGAGACCAGGTATATTTTGGGTAAAGTCCTTGCTTGAGAGCCTTGGATAGTATCCACAAGAGATATTTAAATTATATAATCCAGACTATACTAATTTAGTCTCATGCTTTTCTAACTGAAAAGTATTCTCATAACAAACATACTCAAATAATATTCACATAGGAAAACTGGAATCATGTCTCACTGACTCAAATAATATTCACATAGGAAAACTGGAATCATTTCTCACTGGTCTAATGATGCCTGCTCTGGTATACTAAATTTTTCCTGACCAAAGAGTCACCCCTCTGACACCCACAAAATATCACAAAGCTAATGCAGTATTTTTTGTTTGTTTGTTTTTAAGTACAACATGTTTAAAACATTTTAAAAGTTTTTAAAAAGCACCCTTGTGTGAGTGTGAGTGTGTGTGTGTGTGAGTGTGTGTGTGTGTGTGTGTGAGTGTGTTGGGGGAGAGGGGTCAACTGCAGTTATAATATAAAAATTAAAAACAAACAAGAAGCCCACAAAGAAAATACTTTTCTATGGAAAAGGCTTTCCTGAGACCAAAGCCAGAAACCACAAAGGAAAAGATTAGCAGATATTATACATATTTAAAACTTTTATATTATAAAAGATAAAAAAGACAAAGAAAAGGCTAGGGAGAAAAAATATATAGCATACAACCAAAAAATGTAGATTTTGCTGGGGATATGACTCAGAGGTGGAGCATAGGTATGTTAGCATGCACGAGGCCCTGGGTTCAATTCCCAGCATAAATAAATAAATAAATAAATAAATAAATAAATAA